TTCCGGCGCTACTTCCTCGCGAGAAGAAAGCGCGGGACTGGAAGCGGAGGGCGGGGGGTCTGGACCCGCATGCGTAGGGAGGACGCGGGGCTGACGGAGGGCGGGAGGCAGCCCGCTGGCTGGACCCGGATGCGCGGCTGGAGGAGGGCTGGGCGCCTGGACGGGGGCGTGTCGCTGAGACCGCACAACGCTCCATGGGTAAGGCTTGTATACACGTGTGTGCGCGCCCGCAGGTCTTGTCCGCTTTCCCAAAAATTCCTTGCTGCGGGTGAATGGACAGTCTTAGGTTTGGGGATGGGGGCGAGGCCTCAGAAACGGTGGGAAGACAGACAAAAAGTACCGCAAACTTTAGGTCCTGATCAGCTGGAGCCTTTGGCAGTCTCTAAACCGGTGTTCACAGTGCCGACCGTTCGGTAGAATCACCTAGAGAGATTTTTTGGACCCCCCTGCCCAATAATCCAGACCAATTAAAAGAGAATTAATATGGGAGGGACCCAGTCTTTATTCCAACTCTGTAGGCGATTCCAATTTACAGCCTAGGTGGAAGGGCCCTGCTGTTAAACCTCTGACATGGACAATTATTTTTATTCTTTTATCTCACTTAAGACTCACACCTTATTGGTAGTAGTGGCCCCACCACAATAAATGAGGGCTATGGACTCATTTAGGAGTTTTCTCATAGCTATTTGAGTATCTGCTACGTGAAGGAATCTGGAATACACAAATGAAGGCAGGCTACAGGTCAGCCTCACAGGCAGGTAAATCAGAACCCATCTGATGCTTCTTTATACAGGACACGTTTCAGTGTGTCAACATGTTCAAAAAGTCCCACAAGTTATGACCAGGTTAAGAGAATGTTACAGTATCATCCTGTGATTCTTGAACTTAAAATCTGTGGTAGAAAGCCATCTACCTTTCAGTTATTTTACTTGCTCAAAAGAGGCAGTAGGATCTTCAGCTTCCAATAAGTCCCATCTTCTTGCACTTTGTCTGGATCTAGTCCCTGGGACGTAGGTGACAGAGGTAAACTAATTCATTCAGCAACAAATATTCATGGCACTACTTTGTGCCAGGCACTGTTCTTAACTTTTTTTTTTTTTATTTTTAGACGAGGCAACTCTTGGTTGACCTCACAGATTGCAAGGACCTTGTCAGCTTACAATCCTTTTTTTTACTTTGTATGCCTACAGCACCTGGTCTTCCTAGGTGGTCTCCCATCCAAGTACTTACTAGGCCCGACACTGCTTAGCTTCCGAGATCAGACGGTTTCGGGCTTGTTCAGGGTAGTATGGCCGTAGACTATTCTTACCTCTTGATGCTTACTCTGCCTGCTTCCTCTCAGAGATGAGTTTTTCTTCCTTGCCTTTGCTACAAACAATTTAGCATGTCTCCCAAATTCTTCTGGAGTCAACATTTCTAAGGTGAGAATGGACTTGCCTTTGTTATTTATGAAATGCATTTTCAAGTGTTAATGTTCCAGGTGCCAATAATGGATAATCTGGATGATGGGGGCCCAGTATCTATCCACTTAGACATTCCTGTGGGAAGTGAATGCCCATTTTCCTGAAACTTAGTCTGCATATGCACCCTCATACAACACATGAAAAGGACTGTTAATAGAGGTATACACTCAATGTTATGAAACCGAGGCGAGTAACTACCTGCACATTATGAAGACTTCACGGTATAGGTGTGGAGTTCTAGATGTGGCCAGGAAAAAGCAAATGATTTTATGTTGCCATAGAGGCTCATGTGTGCTGGTGGGAGTGGAGGCAGGGACTGTTCCTGGAAATAATCTAAAGTAGCCATAGGACAAGAGCTATTAACGCAGCTTTGGCTTTAGGCACTCCATTTCCTTGCCTTCCTCGTTCTCTAAGGAAAACATTGCTTTGTCAAATTCGTTTATTTGTGCTTCTGTGGCACAGAATCAAGAGGAAAGGGGAAGAAGGCCGAGGGATCAGGCATTAGTGCCTTTTGAGGAGGCAAGGACAGGAGATATAAATGTATGGAGAATGGAAAGGGTGGAGGGGGGAGGAAATGGAAGAGAAAATAGACTTTAAGAATGTCTATGTTCTATATATTCTCTTTCTAGTGCTTAAAAAAAAATTCGGAACTTTTTTTGGAAATAACTTTTTGGTAGCTAGGCTGTTTCTTTGATCACTACACACCTTGGCCTAGCCCATGCTGATGGCATCTTTCCAGGAGTTATAATGGAGTTGAATTTTCAAGAGCCAGTCAGTTGCCAACAGAGAGATTCATGGGGGCAGGGGGCATATTGTTGACAGCATCACACTGGTTCATTATGAAGTAGAATAATAAGACCTGATTATTGATTAGATTGGGGTTATTCAGGACCTTAATCCTTATCACAAGGGTGATGATGCAGTAGAAAGAAAGGACTGGAGGTAAAAGATGGCAGGAAGGCAAGTTGGGTGGGGAGGGCAAGGGAGGAAATTCCAGAGACATTTATGAAGTAGAATAATAAGACCTGATTATTGATTAGATTGGGGGAATGAAAACAGGGGAATAGTCAACACTGAGGTTGGGATATTTGGGTGCACAGACACACAAGGAATAGACAACTGGTGGTTAATGGGGGTGGGGGTGGAGAAAGACCAGAGCAAGAGTTCAGTGAGGACTACATTCAGGTGAAGGTGTGGTGTGGAAGTTTGTGACGGCCAATGGGCAGCTGGAAAGGCAGCTTTGAAAGGGAAAGGTCAGGGCCTGAGCAAAGAGGTGGGAGTCACTGTGTACAGGGATGGAAGATGGAGTTGTGTGGGATGTGACTAACCTATGCCATATGAAAGTCTGTTATGTTGAGAGGTCTATTGTGAAGTCATAAAATAGGTGAAACATACAAAATAAGCAAACTGACTGAATTTGCTACAAAGAGAAATAAATGTATATTGATGTTAGGATCTCTCTGCCCTTCTACAGTTTCATTCATTAGGCAGCCAAGCAAACCTGACTCAAAGTGGCACAAGTAATAACTAGAATGTACTGGCTCATGTAAATTGCAAGTCCAAGAATAGGGCAGCTGTAGGGTAGGCTAGATTCAACAGCGTCCCATCACCAGGGACCCAACTCAGGGTGGGTGTCATCGTAAGGCTGGTTCTCCATCTGGTCACTGGTGCTACCTACTTCTTCATTCAGAGGGAGAACAAACACCTCTTCACCAATCGGATTCAAATCCTGAGCCCTGTTGTGATTAGAGCAACCCCTGTCAGCAGAAATCAATCACAGCTAAGGAAATGGAATTATGCCCAATAGAAAGCCTTAAGAGCTAGAGATGTCAGTTATCCCTCACCCCGCCCCACCCCCAAAGTCTCATGGCAGGAATGACATTTGGGAGATGTTCCATCATGGCAGAGGGAGTCTAAATTGTATTAACTCATAGTCTTCTATTCACTTCTCACAACCACTTCAGCTGCTGTTCTGGAAAAGAAATTCAGAGACTAGCTCTTGTGGTCTCTGAATTTCTCTGGAGAAAGAAGTTCTAATAAGAGCTACAGAACCAGTATTCATACATATGAGTTTATCCTAAGAATATAAGAAAAGATTTGGTTATAAATATGTTCATCATAGGGTCATTTACAATGGTGAAAAAAATGCAAACAACTTAGATGTCTGACCACAGGATATTGATTTTTTAAAAAATATGATACATCCATACTAAAGAATACTATATTTGTATATATAAATTGATATTCACAACATGTTTTATGAAAGGAATATTACAAAACTATTTACAACTCTACTTAGTGGGAGAAATTTTAGAGTGTGTCTGTATGGCTATTTATACAAGAATCTATCTTTGGAAGCACACACACAGAAGCTGTGACAGTGCTTATTTCTGGGTGGTAGGATTAAAGTTGCTTTTCATTGTCTTTGATTTGCCTGGCCCCTGTAGTAACTGTAAAGTTAATACACAGGAACCTTTGTTTCCTTTGTCCCCTTTAGGCACATAGAATGTTTAGGGGACCATTCTAGTTTTCTCCTCCTCGTCTCTACACCTGCTGATGAAGAAACTGGTCCATCTATTCAGGCTTAGTTTCTTAGTGACCAGCAGATGTTACACTTGTAGTCTGTAGAGGTATGAAGCAACTCAGCAGTGTGAGAATCTTGTGATTGCCCAGCTAATGGGATAAAACTCACCTGTCAGAGCTCTGAGCTCTGCTTGCTCACTTTTGGTGTTTTATTTCCTCAGTCTTGCTGAGTTAACATTTATATTAAATCACCTGAAATCAAATGGTAGAGATCTTATCCTCACCTTATTGATTGTAATGACCTTCTTACCTGACCCTCAAGTAATTTAACCCATGTCCTAATGTTCCAATTAAAATCACATCTAATAAATGAAATGAGATTTTCCTTTGCATTTTGTGCAAACATTCCTTACACAGCAAGCCCTAAGCTATTAGTTTCTTACTTACATAGCACAGTTAGGGTTCTGAGGCATAAAGCGGTATATTAGATGGCATTTCTACTCACTCAATATGTAGTTATGAACAGCTATTACGTGGAGGGTGAAGAAATGTGTTAGCCTGGCCACCTGCTTTGCAGGGTTGCAGAGGAATAAAGAGATCACACGTGTTGCAGCCAGTGGTCTCTGATACCGCCGTGTGCAAGGCCCAGCTCTAGGAGCCAGTGAACATGTGCAGTGATGTCCACAGGCCCCTGCCATCAGTGAGCTTCTAAACTGTAAAGGGAAAACAGGTACAAAAAGTCGTTCTAATACATGATTTAAGTACCTTAAAAGAAGTATAAATAAAAAGACATAAACACATGCATTTTTATTTCACTGGCAAGAGATGTACTATTTCACTAGAGACAACAAGGACATTATAAAAGAGGTGGCATCAGATCAGGTCCTTTTGTAGACTGTGATTTTATATTTGAAAATTAGTCAGACTTCTCTCAGATGCCTAGTATTTTACAAATTACTTTGAAGAGGCCAGACATCAACTTGTGTTTTTCTTAAAATAACCTTGAAAGCTGAATTATGTTTAGAGACTTCCAGATAAGGCAGCCAGTGCTGCTCACACAGCACATCCCAACATTTAAACCCTCCGTGTTAGTTGGGATAGTCCTAGCTACTCTAAGTTCCTCTCAATATTGCTGAGGTCTGTTTTCCTTTTTCCAGTTCTTATAAGAAAGAGAAAAGAACAAGTCCTCTCTATCTCTTAGGCATGCCTACTGTTAAGGACTGAATTATGTCCCCCCAAATTCATATGTTGAAGCCCTAACCCTCAGTAGCTCAGAATGGGGTTGTATTAGGAGATAGGGCCTCTAAAAAAGAGATTAAGGTAAAACAAAGCCATTAGGGTGGGCTCTCATCCTATCTGATTGGTGTCCTTTTAATAAGAGGAAATTTGGACCCCAAGAGACACTGGGCATGCATACAAATAGAGACACTAGGGATGCATACACATAGCAGACAGACCACGTGAAGACACAGTGAGAAGGTGGCCATCTACAAGCCAAAGAGGGAGCTCTCATAAGAACCAACCCTGTCAATACCTTAATCTTGGATGCCCAGCCCCCAAAACTGTGAGAAAATACGTTATTGTTATTTAAGCCACCCAGTCTGTGTTATTTTGTTAAAATAGCCCTAGCAATCTAATACACCTACGATCTGAAAGCCTCTATAAAATTCCATGTTTTCATCAGATTTTTTATTGAGCACCTACAATGCATGAGAGAGACATAAAAGTGTGTAAAATGATTTCTGACATTAAGAAACCGAAATCTTTTGGGGATATAGAGTCTTTAAATATAATCACATAAGAATAATACATGAAAAGTGCCTCAAATGTGGTGCAGAACACCAGGGGCTTCAGAGAGAAAAGTATTGGTTGATACCAGGGTCTCGTGCAAGACTCCCAGAAGACAAGGACTTGGGTCAGGGCCTGAAGGCTCCATAGATTTTAATAGATGGCTGTATGGACGAAAAGATTCCAAACAGAAAGAAGAGAATGGGATGAAAAGACTGGGGCACATGGAGAAATAAATTAGTCTAAATATCACACTAAATATAAGAACTGAAATCTGATCATTCAGTGTCTACAAAGTGACTATTTCATTAAATTTGATAAGCACGAAGTAAAATGAAATTTGGCTGTAATTGTTTAAGAAGAATATCCTAAAAAGCTTAGAAAGTTTTATCAAATTTCAAGGACTTTCTTCTGGTGCCATTTTGAGTAGGTATCTTAATGTTCAGATTTGCAGGTTTCTAATTAGAACAAATGACCTCATCTCCCATCATACTTTACTTCCCAGAGACATTTTTATATCCTATTGGTTTATTCTCTGAGAAAAGAAAGAAGACATTAAGTCCTTAATATCAGTATTGCTTGAACACAGGAAGATAATCAAGTTTTCCTATTTTTAACTTTCTAAGAAGTTAACAAAGTTTTAAAGTACATAATCCCTGATTATAAGTAATACTCAATTTCCTCAAGTACATCTTAGAAGATGTACTTTTTTCACATTTGAATGTTTCTGAAAAAAGATATATCTAAAATTTAATATGCACAATTAATGAGATATGGAGTTTTCCCCCTGAAAAGCTATGATTACATTAACAATGCTTTCCCCCCCAGACCCCCCACATTTGATGTTATCTTAAAACGAAGGAAATATGATGATGATAAGAACCACTGGACATCAAGACACAATTCTGCAATAGATGTCTGATGTCTGAATTTCAAGGGAGAGATCAATAAATTTTACCATGACATTGTGGATACCATGAAAGTCAGGCAGTGTCCATATCCACACCTGAATCAGAGAGGAACACTCACAATGATTCTACAAGGTTCAAATCTCATGGTAATAATCCTATCACCATAGCAACCCACAGGAAAGGGGGCAAGAGAAGAGTTTTCTGATGCTTATTAAGTCCAGGAGCTTAGCTCATCATCTGATGTCATCCAATGTACACACTACTACCACCCTGACCAGAGAGGGCCCTGATGGAATACCCCACATGAGGGGTCAAGCAGTCCTAACTTAAACCCCAGGCAGAATTTAAATATTCGATGGAGGGCAGTTCTACATTTACAGGGCTCTGACTAAGCCCAAGCGAGGATGCCTCTAAAGCAGATGTCTGGGAACAAAAAATCGCTATGCAAATGCAAGCCTTTCAAAACTATTCAACCTCAAGGAGATAATGTCAGGTACCTAACACAGAAATGGAGAGATGAACTGTTTGTTCTCAGTTCCAACTACTCCAGTCATCAATAACAGAACTGAGAACGAGGCGAATGCTCATTTAATCACAAGTTAAGGTATAGTTATTATTATCCCCATTATGATAATGAAGAAACAGGGGCTTCTAAAGAGTGAATGACCTGGCCTAGGACACACAGCCAGAAAGTGTTAGAATAGGAATGAGGAGATTTAATCTCCAAACTATCCTGCCTTCTACACTGCTTTTATAGACAGAAACTTACTGCCTAGGTTAAAAGACAAAAAATAACAGAGCAAGTCCTAATTCTGAATAACTTACTCATTCAAAAAACATTTAGGTGATTCTATACCATCAAAGGACAACTGTAAAAAGTATTTGAAAAATAAATATTTAATAATAATGTAACCATAATTATAATCTTTATATCTTCGGACTACCTTTGTCAAAATTCTTTCCATCACCTTCAGATTCTCTCTAAAAATAATTGTACGTTATACTTCTCTTTACATGGGGTTTAAGCCATTGTACAATATTGAATATTTAATATAAAATATTTATCTTATTTAACATACACTTATATAATATAAACAAAACCTTAGGTTTTCATTTTCTTTGGACTCTGCAAAAGAATGCTGTATGTACACTTTTCAGATAAAAGAGGCTAAAATAATACGATTGGAAGAGATTTAAAGAGAGAAAAAGGACAGAGAGAGAGCCAAGAATGGAACAAATCTCCAGGTCTCCAGAGACGCTGCTGAGGGGTCCATAAACCAGCAAATACCACCTGCCTATTATCTAGCTTAGAAAGGGGCACACCTTTGAAAGCGACAGGATTTAAGTCCGGTATGGCACTTTCAGAAAATGACATCAAAGGCTGGACTATAAATCTTTCTTATTCTCAAGTCACTGGACATTTAAGAGCAAAGATATTGATGGGCTCTTTCTCTCCTTTTCTTCTTCCTTGTAACAGATGTATGATTCATGGGTTGTCCTTTAGTGGTCTCCATTTTCATCTTATTACTTTTTCTTTGCTTCTGCTTTCTGACGGCTCTGAAAAACAAAGTGCTAAATTATTTTGTAGAATGAGCACAGTGAATAATGCAATTAGGTTGAAGTTTAATTAACTAGCTAACCAAATAAGAAAACAGAAGGGAAAGAATTTACTATATTATAAGCATAAATCCTTCGAATCCTAACCGTAATAAAAAGAAGACAATCAGAGGCCTGACCAAGCAAAATGTTTGAGGAAAAAAAAATTCTTTGGAAGACGGTTACTAAAGATTTAGAACAATCTATTCAGGACAAATACAAGACAGAGGTAAATAGTCAAGCCAATGAGTTGGGAGATTTTTTGTTGATTTTTTTTTTTTTTTTTTTTTTAATATCTGTACTGCTCAACTCAGCACTTCAATCTCCAAACCCCTGAATTACATTTTTCAGAAAAAGGACGATACATTCTGGCAGTTCGCAGAGGTAGAAAAATGAAATAGCACAACAGAAAAAACTGACAACACTTAAAGAGGCCCATCTCATAAGTCTCAAGGCTAATTTTCCTTGCTGCGGTAGATATAAAAGTCCTGATGAGTGCCATACAGGATGTCCACATTTTGTGGTCTCTGTTTTCTTGAAGACTAGCTTCAAAATGAACAAGTTAAAACTCACTCTTTAAGAACACTAACCCATGCCAGAGGAAAACAGATCTTTTGCTTCTGGTGCTCTCTGAACTAAGTTACAGTCAGTCTATAGTTGAGAGCAATTACTGGTCTGTTCATTCCCTTTCGGCAAGCTAGCAGAACCAAGGAATGGGTTGGGGCTGCCAGCACTGGCACACCTGGAACCTTTCCATGGCTGCGCAGCACTATCAATGGTAAGGTTCACTCTCCTAAACCACAGCTCCCAGGGAAAAGCTTATTCTCAATCTTCCCAGAACCAAAACCTGGGAAAGGAGCTTCATAAACAGTATATAATCCCCAGTGGACCAAACTCAGGCCTCTCTCTGGTTCATCAGCATGTATGTTCAGTGCTGAGAATAACAAAAATAAATGGGTATAACCTTTAACTTCAAGGAGCTAGGAGACTGAGACAAGGCAGATGGCATCTTTCCCTTTTCTTCCCTCCAACATTTTTAGCGGAAGAAACTGAATCTATGAAATTCAACGAGAAAGTGGCAGAACCAACTTGATTCTAGAACCTGTGCTCTTAATTACCTTGATACTGCATAGTCTACTAAAAATTATTCAGCTATGTAAAATGTTAAGCATATAGTAGTCACTAAATAAATATTAGTAGCTCCATATGACTTATTCAGAATTTTGCTGGGCAAGTTTAAATTTTTCCATATTTAGATTTTGTACTGTGGACTGGGGTATCCTACCAATTAATAAAACAAAACAGTCATCTTTATACTGTTTTGTGCACATTATATAAATCTCCTTTCCCTCCGGCCATTTTTTAAAAAGTAGGATAATGTCCTGATAAGTGATGATTTAGCAAATTTAACGAAGTATAATCTCTTTATAGCAAAGTCAGTGAAGCTATGCATGCCTGCATATAAAATTTTAACAAATTTTCTTTGGCTTATCTACTCATAATAACTAAACATGAACCAGATTTCACTAAAGGATACAGTAAACAGTAACAAAGAAAATATTCACTGGTAATATGAATACCTAAAACTTTCTAGACATAAAGTTTTTCAACAGTGATGACTGATTGAAAATAAAGCAATTGTATTATTTTGCCTTAAAATTAAACTGACCTAGTATTTGTCCTCTAAAATCTAAATTATAGATATTTATGTAACTGATAAAATGAGCTTTAACCACAAGAGGGAGCCAGCGTCATTCTAGTTCGCAACCAAAGGAAACTAAGGGAAAACCAATTAATATGAGAGAGCAGTAAAATACATAAGATGAAAAGATATTTTTATGCCATATATGCTAACAAGGCTTATTAAAATTATTTTCTCTATTGTGCAGAAAAAAATTTTTGCATTGTCAATTTCATTATTTAAAAAAAAAAGTAATACTAAAAGATAACTATTAACAGGAGTTTAGCAATTTTTCTCAGAGAAGAAAGTACCATATTCTAAGAGATTTGTGCTTTGAATTAAACTTGATAAAATCTAGTACTAAAAAATACTAGACAGTTTCCCTCAATGAAAACAATGTATTTCTACCAAACAGACTAGCCAGGGCTATTTAAGGACCAATGAAGAGCCCACAATATTTTACTAAAATGCAAATTCACTTTCCATGTATCGTAGGATCACAGAATCAAAGGTTGAACACGTTACTAAGTCCTGTCTGAAACCGGAAATACACTGCAAATAGTGCAACAATTCCAGACCAGTAGTTTATTACGTTGTATTCTATTCTTGAAGGTTTCTTAGGAAAAATATTTCATAAGATTCTTCAATACACCTCTTTAATTTTAAAAATTCCACTTCTTTCTTGCATTACTTAGTGGAAATAATTATTTAAAGTAAGTTTGAAAAAACAGTATGGAAAAGGCAGTCAAATGGCTGGAATTCAATGGAAAAAATAAATTTTCACTGACCAAAAAAATAAAATAAACAAATGGGAAAGAATTCCAATACAATCATAAAAACCAAAGAATCGGATACTTCTAATACTAATAGATTTTTTAAATCACAAGTCATATGATAGCTCAAAATTTTTATCTTGATCTAAATTTTCAAGTAATGCTAACTCGACTCTCTGGTTTTCATATCAATAAAACAAGGGAACTCAATACCCATTATCCATTTTAGTTTAAAATAAAGTATAATCATTAAAGTTAGCTTAGTTGAAACAGCAATGGCTTTCCTAAATATGCTATTATCTTTGGTATAACTTTGCTCTGAGTTATAACCAATGCCCAGTATTGGTGAGAGATGGGAAATTATCATAGGGGGAAAAAAAGGGTAAAAATTAAAACTTTAAATACTTAAATTGTTACATATACCTACATATTTTTCTAGAAGTCTGAAATAACTTCATTTTCCAATGTGTGAAATTACACATGCCATTCCATCTGAAATGATTCTCCATCCCTACCTGCTATCACGTGTTTACATCTGATTTGTCCTGACTTAAACATCATGTCCTTCAATAAAGCCTGAACTCTAATCCCATAAATTATAATTTCACATGAACCACAGGAGATATAAACTTAGATATAAACTCACTTTCCACTTTATAGTTTGTAAAATTTTAGGCTATTTGACTCATCTTTATATCCTCCCTCCCCCATCTATGCAAATACATAACACTGAAAAGAACAATTAATTTATCACTTCTGAATCCTATAACTAGTATAATTTTGTGGATTGCTCTGTATAAAACCATACATGGAAAATATTTTTTCTGCTAAGTAAAAGAATTCAACTAACTTGTTAGCTTTCTTAGATGCAGAGATGTTAGGACAAGTACCACGTTTATGATCTAATTCTCCACAAATGAAGCAGCCGTCTTTAGGGCCCTCGCAAGAATGATCTGGAAGAGCACAGTGATTGCAAATGCTGCAGTGGATCCAGGCTGGAGAACATAAATTAAGTTTTAGAGGAGGTTCATTAATATAATTTTTCATTTGATTAACCTTTATGATAGGGAAGCATGAATAATGTTTACTTCAAATATTGTGATTGGTTTGCATAGCTGGTTATAATTTGGCTAAAGAGGCCAAAGTTAAGAGACTGGAATCTCTCATAAAACAGCTAACTTCTTTCTAATATGTGGCAACAAATTTAGCCTTCCTCCAATGAGTCATGATCTCAGAGCCACTGACACACTGGGGACTAGCTGGGTGACACAAAGCCCTATTAAAATAAGCCAAACCAAATGCCACACTGAAACGTGTTAGTAGTCATGTCTCTCTATGAAGGAGAAAATGTACATTTTGGTAGCTGTAAAAATTAAAAAGCAAGCAAATTCATGCAGGTCTCTATATTATTTTTTTCTTTTATAAATACAGTTAAATTAAAATCCTACTAAAATGAAAAAAAAACCCAAATGTTTTCATAGGCTCTCAAATATTAATTCTAAATACTTACAAGGCTTTACACACTTTTTGCAGAGAAAGCAATGGTTCCATTTCCTGCCATCCTACAAAAACAATTTTTAAATTATGTTTAATTTGTCATTAAAAATCAAGTCCCACAATTAAAAATTAAAATGTCTTATTAAAATCTGTATAAATTATTAATTCCTTATTTCTCACTTTCCTGGGCTTCAAAATTACATACTTTGATTTTAATTTATACTTTTCTCCACTCAAATCAATGACTTCTTGGTGGGCCCCAATTTTCTTAACTCTAAAACAAGGGGATTTTTGTAAATGATCTTGAAAGTCCATTCCAGGTAGAGCAAAGCAATCTGCATAAGGAAAGGCTCAATGAAAATTTCAAGAGAATTAATGATTTATAATTTTTATGCGTCTATCTGGCACAATCCTTAATAAAATTCATATTTGAGAATTTCATGTAATTAGAAAGAGATTATAGGTTGCTACTGGGGTAATTTTAAAACTGTGAAGTAAAACATGGAAAAATGCATGAAACACATTAGTAAACAGTGACGCACCCCACAGGTCAAGAAAGAGTACCACCAGCCCCAGACGCTGCCCCACGTGCCCCTTCCTGAGCCAGTCCCCCTCCTGCCCAGCTTAGTGACAAATATTGAAGTTTTGTGATGGCCACTTCCTTGTTTACTTTCACCAATATGTGTGCATCTCTAAAAAATAAAATTTTGTCTTCCTCATTTTGAACTTTTATGATTTGGGCATCGTTTTTTAAAATGAACGATATACAGATAATTTCTAAATGAATTAAAAATATATGTAATCAGATGGGTTACCATAATTAAAAGCTAGTATAAACCAGTGATAAAATTATAAAGTTATGAAAAATGTACTTTCTAATAGTTATAAAAATACACCCTTTCTCTTTGAAGAATAACATGTGCTTATTGGCCAAACTAAACTTCATGTTTCTTTCTGACTGGACGTAGTTAAAATGACAGAGCAACTTTAATGGTGATCCCACCTCCCTAAACACAGAGGAGGTGTGTCCCAGGCAGCCCCTCCTCATCCCTAGAAAGCGAAGAGGACCCGCACCATCTGCTAGGGCTACTGTGAGCGGTGAATGACTTAGTTCATGGGCAGCTCTTACGAAAGGGCCTGGCACATAAAAAATGCACAAGACATGTTATTAATTATAGTTTCTTCAAAACAGTGATGGTATCTCATAGTTCAACACCTTATTTGAAACATTGTAATTCTGTCCTCCACAAAATTCAGTGCTTTATTTGAAATACTAGTAATTTCAGCAGTCATATATATTTTATATAGCAGTACTATACAAAAATGAATTCAAATAATTGTTAATGATGATGAAGCCAACTGTGTTACATGCCATTGAGTTGGCTCTGCTCTTGGCGACCCTACGAATGAGTGACATCCATAATGTCCTGTCCTCAACAGCCCTCCTCAGCTCCTGTGGACTCCTACCTATGGCTTCTTTTATGGAGTTAATCTATCTCATATTTGGTCTTCCTCTTTTCCTGCTGCCTTTTATTTTCCCCAGAATGATTGTTTTTTCCAACGAATCCTGTCTTCTTATGATGTGCCCAAAGTAAGACAGCTTCGATTTTATCATTTTGTGCTCAGTGATGTTTCAGGCTTAATTAACCAGAAGACCCATTTGTTCACCGAGGTATTTTTAAAAGTCTGTTGTACTCTATGATTAGAAATAAACTACTATACCGAAGTATAATAAATGATAATATATTAATACAAATATTAACAAAATAACATTAAACGAATGTAATGAAACCAGTAAACTAAAATAACTGACATATTTGAATAAAAAATGTATTTTAAAGAAACCTATACCTTGGATGTGCAAGAATTACAGTGCTCACAGTGTTGATTCTCTAGAGAAACGTATCGCTGACACAGAGGGCAAAATCTGAGGAGGAAAGACAGACTTGGAGAAATCAGCTGCGTATACTTATTGAGATTCACAGAGTAGATAAAAGTTTGTGGGGGCACTCATTACAAAAATTGGATGTTAATCCAAATTCAATTCAATATAAAATTACGGGCCGAAGTTAAAAGTAACAGAAGAACTACATGAGTCAATATTAAAAAGCATTTTAATGTTAGCTATATGGAACTTTATTTTCAATGACCTGTGTATTTCAAGGTCCCACTGTAATCTTACCTGTACCCTTCTTCAATAGGAAGGATTATTTTGTTGGGTGGAATATTGGTGAAAATACGCACAGGAGACTGTTTTCGACCCGTCTTTCCATGTTTATAAAGTGCATGATTATCGTAATCTACCTAAAAAATTTTTAAAAATTTAAAAAGAAAGTTTAATCAAATGAGTCAACATTCATTAACATTCTTTAACCAATAACTGAATGACCTGATGCCAAGATACAAATTAAACTGAAGTATTTAATAAGAAATTCTTAAAAGCAAAAGTTTACTTATTAATCAATAGCCTCAGAAAGGCCTCTGTGACAGTAAAATTTCATTATAAAAATGGTAAATTTTTTTATAACAAATTCACATTGCTTGGTTCTAAGAACAACTCTAATCTTTTATATAATACAATAGACTTTACAAGAAAGGCTATTATGTAATTAGATTTAGCTCTGACATTAAAACATTTCACCTTTGAAGACATGTGCCAGCTTGGTTGCAGCTTTTCATTCTGTCTGTGTGAAATTCACTACACGCCTTTTCATTTCACCAAGTATCAGGACGGACTGAGTTTGGCCTTCTGCCAGTCACTATTTGACAGAGCACAGGCCAGACAGTGGCTGTGCCCCTCACTTCTTATGTGACCTTAAGCCCGTACGCATGATTTTCAAGTGGAAAAGGAGGGGACCTTAGAGTTGCTATGAAGGTTAAATGAGGTAATATATGTAAACACTGAGTTCAGGGCCTGGCATATGGTAGAGGTAGACGGACAGATGGAACTGAAGAGAGACCCATAACTACAGTTCTTCTCCCCACAATGACTATTTCAAACATTTACAGCTCTCTCAAGATCCCTAACTTGACTTTCAGTTTCAGCAGATTATCTCGAAAGTAAACTAAAGCTAAGAAGCACGATTTCTTTGGCTTCTTGCTCCTGTCTCCTCCCCCAACCACTCTATTATCCATACACGTTTTCAACTTGGTTTTAAACCTATTATGAATTCACCTGGCCACTTAGTCCATCTTTCTTTAGATCAGTAATTCTCAAAGTGTGGTGTCAGCATCAGCAACATCACCTGGGATTTTGTTAGAAATGCAAGTTATCACCCACCTAAGGCCTAATATAGCAGAAACTCTGAGGGTGGGGCCTCACAATCTATATTTTTCATAAGCCCTCCTGGCACACTGAAATTTGAGAACCACTGTTTTAGCTTATCCACAAGAATACCATGAGATTTTTATGAGGTCAATACAGGTAGAGCCCAATTTTCAAATAGGTTGTAATTAATCGTTTAGATTCTAAACAAGAATACTCTTAAAGAAGTGACAACAGAACTGGCTCACAAGCTAGCAAGCCACAAAAATGTAAGGACCTGAAGACAATGGAAAGGGGGGCCTTTCATGGGAGACTCCTAAGCTCTCTCCATGGCCCTCCCAAAGCCTCCTAAATTTATAGGTAGACAAATTCAGATAGACTGATTAACAAGTTCCAGCAGTGGAGAAAAAAAAGTATGGGGTCGGGAGACTCAGCTAAATAAGGGACGGTGTGAAAAAACTTTTGGGGGTTCTGTTAACTGTCAGTATGGTGAGGCCATAGTCTAGCATAACTTAAAAAGCTGGCACGGGCTCACAGCTGGCCTACACAGAAGTGTAATACCAAAACAAGGAAAGGATGAGGTCAGATGACATCTGAAGCCCTGCATTCAGACTACATTTTAAGAGAGACATTAATAAAACCAGTTAATTTCCACTGAAAGTAATGGAAATGAATAGGATTTAGAGTTTAACATATGGGTGTTTATTCAGAAAAAAGAAGACTGGGAGGATCTGATAGCTATTTTATAACTGAAGGGGTGTCATGTGGAATAGAAATTAGACTTATCCTTTATTGCTTTGGAGAACAGAAGTAGGACCAATGGTTAGAAGTTAATAGGGAGCATATTTTATCTCAATACGAGAAAATTTTCTAACGATTAGAGCTATTAAATAAATTGAGTTGCCTTGTTAGGCTGTAGGACTTTGCTCACTGAAAGCAGTCAAGTGAGGCTAGATGACTTCTTGTCATGAATTTAGTGGAGAGGATTATTACACTGGGAAGTTAGCCTATATTCACCTCTATGTTTCTTTCCAACCTTAAAATTCTATGAATACGTTACCTATTAGAGGTTAAGATACAAAAGTAGATTTTACTTCAAAATCACCTTAAAATACTTTAAATAGTACTTTAAATAGTTTTCTTTTAAAATGACTTAAATTCATCATTTTTCCCCATTGCACTTCTCTATGGACTCAATAAATATATGGCACCTTATTAAATTCAACAAAGATATTCCAAACATTCATGAGCGTCATAAGAAAAAAAATTCTTCCCAAGAATCTTAAGAAGATTTTTCAAATGTTGGAAAAGAATATCTTAGAAAGATTTCTAGCAAATGGAATATTCCATGCAATATAATAGATAGCAGATGGAAGGGAGGGAGAAAAAGAACAATTTCTTTATGGTTACCCAAGGAATCAGAAAATGTATGTGTCAGGAAGGTGGTTGATTGCTTGATTTTGCATAACCTAATTGAGATTATTATTATTTTTAAATGCGGGTTTGTTGTGCTAATTAACTATAAACATATGGTATGTAAAATGCATGCTGCTAGGGTAAATTAATGTACCTCTAACATACATCCATATTTCATAGCTTCATCCACACAAATAAACCTCCTATGGAACCGTTGTAAAGCAAACACAATTTTGCAAATTGCATATCACTAGTGGTAGAGCTGATACACCATTTTCCCATCATTATCCCTGACATTTCACTCACAATGATGATGAGAGGCATTCTCAAATAGAAAATTTCTCCCATGGAACTGATTAATGTGATGAAGTACTGTATAGAAATGAGGGAAAGCACAAAATCTCTGTACTTCCTAACTTTTAATTTTATCTCTACGCAAATTTCTTCTGTAACATGAGACTGAAACTAGTTATACGGAAACCAAGACATTCAAGTCAACAAACATATATTTTGCACCTACTATGTTCTAGACATCAGGCCAGAAAACAAAGATTAAATAAAAGAGAGTACTTATATTTTCCTAACTCCCTAAGGATTATGTTTAATTTCAGTATATTCAAAAGATCCCAAGTGAACTCTTCAGCTCTATCAACCAATTTCTATCACAATAGGTCTTTCAGTTGTATTCTCCATACCCCATGTAATCTCTTATTTTAAATTACTATAAATATATTACCATAAAGTATATATATAATATATAATTATATATGTGATATATATTACATGTTATTATATATTATATTATAATTACATATGTGTGATATATATAATATATATATTATCCTCCTTGTCACTCCAAATCTATTGAATTGTTTTACATTTATTATATACTGAGTTTTAAGAATTTCAGTTGCCATCTTTTAATTTACAATCATTGGAAACTGCTGTCAAAATATCTTGCTTTCTGAACATGAAACTAGCCTTGAAAAACAGTTTTCTATACAGGATGATTTTTTGAAAGCTATCTTAAAAAAAAAACAAAACAAAAGCAAAGAACTCAACCTTTAAGACTCCAGACAAATGTCCCAGATGAAGTAGAAACAAGAGATCATATATGTTTAAGGTAGAAGATAGTGAGATGATCTAGCTGAGATACAGTAAATATAAGACTTGAATGCCATCGCTCCCTGACCCTGACCCTGTGAAGGCCATCACTAATCAGTCACACTACTCTCTCTCTGCCACTGAGCCTGAGTATTCTCAACAAATTCTCCAGAAAGTCACTACCAATTTATCAGGATTAGCGCTAAAAGTGAAATTTATCTGCCATCCCTTTTCTGGTTCAATCATTTTATTTTATTGGTAAGGAAACAGAGACCTAGAAAGATAAAGTGACTTCCCCTATGATTCAATAGCCTCTAAAAGGCAGTGTAGAACTCAAACTTCTGACTCTAAATCAGAATTTCTTTTCATTATCACATCCTTCCTTTCTAATCTACCCTTAACAAAACTCTTGGGTTTCTAGGTCTTTGAAAATTGTTTTATTCTGCACTACTCAAGTGCTTTAACACACAAGAGTCTACACCGTTTATATTTTATGAAGATTTTGTAGCATTTCCACCTTGCTCTTATCTGAAAAGTATTTCAAAAAGAGATTTACTGGCTTTTTTTTTTTTTTTTTTTTTTAAACTTCATTGTGATCTAGGGTTTTATCATCATCTTAGGCCATGTCAGAAAGAAGGATTAATCAAGGTCTATGGGAAAAGAGCTGTGAAGTAGAACAGACTTTCGAATTTTTATTTGATGAAGGCTAATATAAAAGTTGCCACAAAGTGAGGTTACAGTAACAAAAGAAAGAAAAAGCAAAAGGTTCAGAAAGGATAATAAGTCCAGAGAAATTTTTTTTTAAGTTGAAAAACCATCGAAGGGGAGGTACAACAAATAAGGTTAATAAATACACAAGGAGATATGGTAAAGTCAATTTCTCCAACTGAGCTTGTCATGGGCAGTAGTGTTCTTATCTTCAGTAAGAGTCATGAAAAACAAGTTTTTTTGTTTCACAGATTTTTTTCCTAATTTTTCTTTTCAAAAGTTGGCTTTCTCTTTATCGAAATGACTACTTTTCACCCTGTCCAATAAACATAACCTAATTAGAGCCTTTTCACCAATACATTGAATTACATAATTATTTCCAATAAGCTTGGACCTTGGAACTATTTCTCAAAACTAAAACTCCAGTATTTCCAAAAGTTCCTTCCTAGTAATATAGGCTGTCTAAACAAACAGTAATTGGCTACTCTACATTAACCTTTCTCATCTGCTTTATTCTGGATCTGCCTTTGCCTCCTCACCATTTCGAACTCTTGTCCACAGTGAAAACTTCTCTCTAAATGTAGATGAAACAGTTTTCTGAGGGACTTCGTATTTTGCAATTTTAATGTCTCAGATACTGTACAAAAAAAGGACCTGAAGAGAGTTTTACCTCCACCTTGAGACTATCTGAAAGATGACAATATAGTGATGGTTACGACAATGCTGATAGCAATAACCTTGACTCTATACTTGCTGTGTGTCAGGGCCTAGGCTAAGCCTTTTTAATGAATTATCTCATATAATTCTTAAAACCTTATGAGGCAGATATATTATAACTATGCTCATATAACAGGCAAGATGAGCTTCAGGGAGTTACATAAAATGTGCCTAGCTAGTAAATGACAGAACCAGGATTAAAACTCAGTTCCTTTTCAAATCCAGAGTTCATGCTCTTTTTTCATTCAGTTATTGATTCAACATGTAGGGTATCTACTCTGTACCGAGCATTGTACTAGGTGATCATTCACTGTCAAAAGCAGCAGATACTCCTGGAAACTGGAACTAGTTTACTTAGTTAACAGCCTTGGGTATGTCAGCTAACTCTGCATTGCTAATGTCAATACTAGAAGCATCCCTCAGACAAGAAATAGAAAACTGGGTACCCTAAAAAGGAAAGTAAACCAGCTTTAAGAATAATTATGATATGGATTTTGCCTAAAGCAGAGTTCAAAACATCAAGATTAAAATGGCTTGTGTTACATAGTTTTGGAAAGGAACCTATTAATATAGTTCGATAGTCATAAAAATGTGTCCATTAAATTTGATAATGTAATTTTTAGAATTCTATTTTAGTTTTGGGAATTCATTTAAGTTATGTAAGATATGAAAAGAATTATATGAATAAAAGATGTTTATGGCAGGGTTATTTGTAGTACCTTAAAGGCGGAAGCAACCTATAAGTCCAAAAAAAAAGAGAAAGATAACATAGCTGATTAATGAAATAATTAGGAGGATCAGAACCAAGTGCTAGCTTGGAACTACTAGTGAATACATTTACAGTTCTAGGGATGAAAAGCCTTCATCAGAGGCTAGTCAATTGCTCGGAAAACTCAAATAGAAATTTATAATTACAAAAGAGGAAGTAGTGCCCACCTGATGACCACACATAGTAACAGAGACAACAGGGTTAGCTTCAGCACCCAAGGAAAGTGGACATTAAAACAGAAGAACAAGCTGAGGGGCAGGGTGGAGCCACCATGGCCTCCGGGGTCTCTTCTCACCCACGGGAGGTTCCCAGGGCCTTGGGCAGAGACATGAAGGAGGGCTAATCAATTCCGCCCTGCATCAGCACACGCACGCTCACACACAGACTAACATTTCTGCCTCTCTGATGCCCCACGACCTTGGGCAACCTCTCTCTCCTTAGAACTCCTGGCACCTTGAGTTGCACAATGAAGTGTACATGGCAATGCACTGACCAGAAAACGCGATTTACTTCTCTACAACCTCTGAACAGAGAAAACCCAAGTAAACAATGATGATGCTGGGGTGCTACGAAATCTTCTGGTGATAATACCTGCACCTCAGAATCACCTGGGAAGCCAGGTAAAATGTTTTTTCTTGGGGCTTTACCTTCTGATTTTGATTTAGTTGGTTTATTTTGGTACCTAAGAATCTCTAATTTTAATAAGCACCCTAGGGATCACAGACATGTTAGATACCACTGGACTAAGCTATATAAGGTACAATTTCAGTGTTTAATATAGCTTATAGTATTTCATTAACTAAAATCAATGAACAGTTTTATCAGATTATTTATTTAAGCTAAATATCCATTCCCCAACCATGCCAGAAGACAGAATATTTACTATACCTGATAATCCAGCATGCAGAAGCTTGGAAAAAACTGACAAATTCGGGATTCAAAAAAATAGGGGAAAATCCAGAAAATTGGTAGTTCTTTGTGATTGTTATCTAATGGATCACAAAAAAGGAAGAAAGAAAATAAGAAATTGATATTAAAGAAAAAATAAAACATTATAACTAGAAAACTCTGGTATCAAGAGAAACTGCAATCATTCAATACATTTAA